ATAGCATCACCAGACATTTATCTAACCAGTTTGATGTAACAAAAGCAGAAATTTCTTCAGCTCTTGTTGCTGATAGCATTTGCCAGTACCCCTTCAACAGATCATTCTTCGAAAGGAATGAGACACTGCCGATTAAAACAATCCTACAATCATGAAACTAAGTAAGATGTTTTATGACTGCACTCACCTTATATAATCTAGTGGATAATAGTGCTTCTACAACAGTAAATAGATTATAGTGACAGGTTAAACAAATATAAACTACTGAGATATGAAAGTACAAACTAAGATGCCAATCCCTCATAAACTTCCCCTTCCTTACTTTCACACAGACAAATAGGGAAAATAGATTATTGGTGGACTTAGAAAAATCTGACAAGTCAGTTCAGTCGTCTTTGCTTCCCGATTGCAATGTTCAGGTGATCTTTCTTCAGCTAGCCAGGCCCTAGGCGTTCAGTTGTCTTTCTCTGACTATTTCCAGGGGTTTGTAAGGAGTACAGAGCCACTGATTCACTTAGAAAACGTATCTGATTTATCAATCCAAAAGTCACAGCTCACAGCAACTGCTGTAGGAAAGGTAACTGTTTTTCTTCAAATTTACTGCACAGAACAGGCAGCTTCTGGTAGGGAGAACAACAGCACACATTTCTTTGTCTTTCTTTCTCTGTGTGTCTCTGAAACGTTGTTCCAGTTCCAATCTGCTCAGTCAGCTGAGAACCAACCATCTTCACTAGTAAACATCTCCTTTGTTCAAGATCGTCTGTAATTGGAAGAACTCACAGCTACGACAAAACAGAGTTTACAATAATTATCAGTTTCTTTATGTGAAGTTAAACAGCCATCCTGGTAATCTGCTTTTATACACAGTTCTTTTTCATTGCAGTCCACAGTTTTAAAGACACAAAAATAACAAGACACGGACCTATGTTAAAAATTAAATAATGCCTCCACGCCAAGGGAGAACTATTTTAGTTTAATTCTACTCACAAAATTATGCTATAAATTATTCCATGAAGGAAAAGAAATTCAAACAAATAGATGAATATTCAACATTTGCAGCTCATAGCAAAGCCTCAGGGCTCCATTTTTTAAAAATTATGTTTGATTTTGAAGAGATTTTATTCTGCTTTATGCTAGCCATATTGCTGTACATAACAAAACCCAAGCTGTTAATAACTGGATTTTATTTTAACACCAAATAGAAAGAGACCTTGAGATAGTAGGAACTGCAGATGCTGGAGAATCCGAGACAACAAGGTGCAGGGCTGGATGAACACAGCAGGCCAAGCAGCATCATAGGAGCAGAGAGGCTGACGTTTCGGGCCTAGACCCTTCATCAGAAAAGGGGGAGGGGAAGGGGGTTTTGAAATAAATAGGGAGAGAGTGGGAGGCGGATAGAAGAGGGATAGAGGAGAGGATAGGTGGAGAGGAAACAAACAGGTCGAAGAGGCGGGGATGGGGCCAGGAAAGGTGAGTGTAGGTAGGGAGTTAGGAAGGGGATAGGTCAGTCCAGGGAGGACGGACAGGTCAAGGGGGCGGGATGAGGTTGGTCGGTAGGAGATGGAGGTGCGGCTTGGGGTGGGAGGAGGGGATAGGTGGGAGGAAGAACAGGTTAGGGAGGCAGGGACGAGTTGGACTGGTTTTGGGATGCGGTGGGGGGAGGGGAGATTTTGAAACTTGTGAAATCCACATTGATACCATTGGGCTGCAGGGTTCCCAAGCGGAATATGAGTTGCTGTTCCTGCAACCTTCGGGTGGCATCGTTGTGGCACTGCAGGAGGCCCAGGATGGACATGTCGTCTGAGGAATGGGAGGGGGAGTTGAAATGGTTCGCGACTGGGAGGTGCAGTTGTTTGTTGCGAACCGAGCGTAAGTGTTCTGCAAAGCGGTCCCCGAGTCTCCGCTTGGTTTCCCCGATGTAGAGGAAGCCACACCGGGTACAGCGGATGCAGTATACCACATTGGCAGATGTGCAGGTGAACGTCTGCTTGATGTGGAAAGTCTTCTTGGGGCCTGGGATGGGGGTGAGGGAGGAGGTATGGGGGCAGGTGTAGCACTTCCTGCGGTTGCAGGGAAAAGTGCCGGGTGTGGTGGAGCTGGAGGGGAGTGTGGAGCGGACAAGGGAGTCACGGAGAGAGTTGTCCCTCCGGAAAGCAGATAAAGGTGGGGAGGGAAAGATGTCTTTGGTGGTGGGGTCGGATTGCAGATGGCGGAAGTGTCGGAGGACGATGCGTTGGATCCGGAGGTTGGTGGGGTGGTACGTGAGGACGAGGGGGATTCTTTTTTGGTTTTTATTGCGTGGACGGGGTGTGAGGGATGAGGTGCGGGAGATGTGGGAGACACGGTTGAGGGCGTTCTCGACCACCGAGGAGGGGAAGTTACGGTCCTTGAAAAACGAGGACAACTGAGATGTACGGGAGTGGAATGCCTCATCCTGGGAGCAGATGCGGCGGAGGCGAAGGAATTGGGAATAGGGGATAGCATTTTTGCAGGAAGGTGGGTGGGAGGAGGAGTATTCTAGGTAGCTGTGGGAGTCGGTGGGCTTGAAATGAATATCGGTTTCGAGGTGGTTGCCCGATATGGAGACAGAGAGGTCCAGGAAGGGGAGAGAGGTGTTAGAGATGGTCCAGGTAAATTTAAGGTTGGGGTGGAAGGTGTTAGTGAAGTGTATGAACTGTTCGAGCTCCTCGTGGGAGCACGAGGCGGC